TAGTCCTTCTCGAAAACTCAGACAATCAGTGATCTAGTCCAGCTAATGAGGATCTTATATATGATTGGCGTACACAAGCCAACACTTCAGTTAACCTGACCAACGATCCTCAACCATATTCCTTCAATACGTTTGGTACTAGCCACTCCCCCCTGTCTCTTTTCAGTCTACCTACGGCCATCTCAACTTCGGAAGGATTTGCAAGCCATGTCTCAAGTTTGCATTCACGAAGTAGCTGTACAATGGGAAAACGAAGATTACCTGGGGACAAACCAACTGAAGTAGAGCTGTAGCTCGTTGGTTTAGTGTGGTGACTTCCAAGCGATGAGTCACGGATTCGAGCCTCGCTCCACCTACTGAGATTTGGGCAAACAGGTCGTATCATTATCCCTCGACATCCATCAATGGCGAAGGTGCTGAGGATAACCGTCCCGTCGCAATCCTTACTGACAGTCAGTGAGGATCCTCAACGCTGTTTATACAGGAGGCTGTAAATGGTATATGTTTCTTAAGGATGTGTCATGGTCACGATGCAGTGGTTATCTGAACAGATTCTCTTTGAAGCAAACCATTGTGTGCTCATCACCCAATCACTTCCAGAAGTCTTCCAGCCAACCATTTTATTCGTTTGTTGACATAGACATAGGCGGGTCAGAACTAAAGCGTGATCACCGTGCAAGCATGTAATACAGAAGGAGTATCAGTATTCCACCGATTTTCTCCAGCGATAACTGCTAGCGATATCTGTCTGTGTCCACTGATGAGTTGTGGTCTCTGGGTGCCACATCACTCCATGTCTCTCTTCGTATCTGATGTTCGTGCTGTGTATAAATACGTGGTTATCTGAGCACAGTTATAGCAGGCGATAACCATTATCGGATCGTTAAGTTGTGATTCTGAAAATGTCACCGAGTTACCTTTCTGCCTGGCTTGACCTTCCTATTTGTGGACCGAAAGCATTCACTCCGAAAACCATAACTGAGCATTTGGTTTTCAGTAGAAGGCTAAATAGATCCCAGTATAAATAATCTGTCTATTGGTTCGAAATGCATTCAGTACGTCCATAAAGAGAAATTACAAAGAGATGATTTTCGTCATTCTTTTTATCTCCGCAGCAATCACTTGAACAAAGCATAGGTGACAGTGAACTACGACTTATTCAAGCAGTGCACCACATGTTTTAGTAATTAACACTACACTTACACCACGTAGACCAAATGAATTAGATATCAAACGTTCGTAAACTTGCAGTGAATTTCGCTTATTCACCAATTCGGTAGGGTGAGGGAGGTCAAGTGAATAACTGAAATTGGATCCTGTGACAGGTCTTACAAAAAAGAATATGTCCATTGCCCAAGATGCCAGGATTTTGGCTAGCGAAGCCTGATTTCCCATTTGATGAATACCGACATTGAAAGCTCTGATTTCTAGTTTGAAGTGCAGTTTCATCACACTAGGGAAGCAGTCACACAAACTGGAATCTTAACTAAGGTTGGGACAAAGTGCAGATGACATAGGATTATTCGGAGAGAGGTGTTAGAAAGATCAGAAGGCAGCGATATAGAATGGCTGATAACGACCTGAAGGAAATTGAGTACTGGCAGAGGTGTGATAGCAGTTAGTACCTCCAGCTGCTCACACCATGAATGGCTAACGCCTCTCGAAAACTTTGATTAACATTACTAGTGTAGCCGTACAGCCTAAGAGATTGCTTCTTGTAGCTACTTAAACATGGTTTTCTGGAGGTTTGAGGTTTTATTTTAATTTTGTTAAATCCAGATACGGAACCCATAAGATCGGCAGTGGAAGACCAAAAGATAGATTGAGTGCACACCTATTGGAGTCGACCTTTTCTTCCGACAGGATTAGTTTGTAGTGCTGTTTATCAGCAAAAACACCTTACTCCTGTCACAATCCAGCCAGCCACCAGTACGACTTCCGTGTCGATCCCCTATCACAGTTCAAGCTATATACACTGCCCTTAGTTTTATCACTATCCAATAAACCTTTCTGGTATGGTAGGACCTAAATAAAAACGCTCAAACTATCATAGATCGTTGGGTTATTGTTATACACAAGTCTAGCCTAGGTAGCAGCTAACAAAGTCACATTACGAATGGTTCGTTAGTTAATGAACCAACTTACATGTGGTTCTTGAGCCAAATTACCTTTGTCGCCTAACATCTTATAATCTTCAAAGTTTAAAGAAGAGATACGGGCTAGTACTAATTTGTCAACTAGTTTAGGTAAAGTGCAAACAGAGTAATCCCAGCATATATGCAGGTACTAGGTAGCTATACGGAAATCAGAGATAGTCCTGTCGCACTGGTCTACTTCACTGATCTTTCCAGACTAAGAGAAGTTTTCTTTTGACAATCATAAAGGAATTAGTTTGACTAACATCGTCCCGAGGATCCTCAAGTCCACACACGTACGACACTTAACTAGAGCTCGAGAACAACAAACTCAAGAAGATCAGGCAGGTTTCAGACCTGGACAGTGGTTGCATCAGTCAGATTTTCACCCTTCGACAGCTTATGGACCACAGGGATACTTACCGGTGGCCGACACTTGTCATATTTCTTGACTTGAGGTGTTGTGGCAGTATCTGGCTGTGGAAGGAGTACGAAGCAAATACGTAACGCTAATCAAAGTTTGCTACTCAAAATCACGCGGTCGAGTAAAGGCTTATGGAGAGACGTCATCTTAATTGGCGATAGACAGTGGCGTCCCGCAGGGATATCCAGTGTCACTACTCCTGTTCACCTTTGTTAAAGACATACTAATGGACATAATCTTAGGTGCCGCTGACTTCACAGGGATTTACTCCTAGCAGGGTATCTGGTTGACTCCAAGTACACAAACGACACTGTGCTACTATGTGACGACGTTGAAAAAAACAGGGTCTTCCGAATGCCTGAAGCAGAAATCTGTCCATGTTAGGCAAGCATTTCGCACCTATCAAGTATAACATGATGCTTCAGCACTGCTCTGCAACTACTCCCAGTCGAAGGATAGGGAGTGGAGTAGTGTAATGCGTCAACGACTCCACTTACATAGAGTTGCCTCAGCTCTTATGGACTACCTTCGGACGAAATCTCAACTCGGATACAGAAGGCTCGTTAGGCATTTGATAACTTTTTCATCTCTGCAGCCAACTGGCGGGATATCTTGCTACCGATTAAAGGACGAGTACACCATGCTGTAGTTCGTTACATCATGTTATAAGGTTGTGAGACACGACATTTGAAGGTAGCAGATACGAAGAGACCACAGGTTTTTGGTCACAGGTGTCTTCGTAGCATTGCTCACAAATGGTGGGATCACCATATCAGCAATGTAGAGGTTAAGCGAAGGGTACTAGGCGAGACAGATAAGTCTGTTTACGAGGTTGTGAACCCTCAAAGACGTGTTGTGCATGTCGAGCCACTGCCTACCTCGAAGTGCAATTCCAGAAGCCGGGAAAGGATTCAAGGTTGCCAGACTAGGACGTGGAACCAGTCGATGTTTCTGACTTTTGGCGTTAGCAGTGTGGGATAGTGGAGATTGGTTGGTTGAAGCCCTCAAAATGATGGGAATCAGAGGTCGGATACACTCGATGGAATAGCTGAAAACCGGCCACAAGGGCACAGATGTATCCAGTCTTTGACGTCTTCTAACATCCAAGCTTTAGAGCTTGGGTATTTTCATTATCTTTCACTCCAAGTTCCTTCTCCTCCCATACACCTTTATCGATTTCTATATCGGTCTTTTTCTATCTACTTACTCTTTCATGTCGCTGTGAAGTGTAGCAACTTGAACTGATGCACTTTTGAGCGAGCTTCCGCGTTGATTTCGTCTGCCTATCTGCTAGTATTTATGGATCGGTTTTCTGAGCCACCTTTGTTTCATTGTAGCATTTTCAAACTGGCATGAACTGCAACGCAAATTAGGTCTTCTGTAGGCATAACTGAGGACCCAACAAAATTAAGTACCAGTGATAGTTATCACGATTATAATATAGTAGAAACATGAACAAACATGATGATAGGCCAATTAAAATACCTGAGTGATCGGTAGATCATAGAAACTCGATCACTTGGGTGTTGTATATGCTTACAAGTCTGATGATAAGTATCAAGTTACCACTTAAGTCCTGAGCAACTCAAAAAAAACTGTCGGTGCTAAAGAGCAAGACAGAGTAAAGGTAATAAACCCCAGTGAAGTTAATGACGAATTCCCCAAACTTTAAGAGACAGTATAGTAACTCAGTGAGTTTATAAATGGTAGCTAAAATGGACAAGTCAGTAAGCACGTTAAATTCATTTGTTGCCCCCAAAAGTATTTCAGTAGTGTATCAGAGTAGGTTCGTCCAAACAACCTAGTTGATAGTTAGTTTTAGGCTATCAGTCCTACAGATATTAATTATGTATGACCTATTAAACCCACTACAACCCAAGAAAAGTCGCTGCATGAACCATTTATTGGGACATACGATTACTTGCAAGGGAACCCTCTACACTATTAAGTTACGTCGCCCTGCTTTACTTAATGCACATTATTAGATATGTAACTGTATTATGAGCACGATGGGTTAACGATCAACAAAAACTCTTAGTTTTGACTGGCTTATAAATCTCACAGAAGTGCCATAAATGCCACTTGATTTTATTCGGAAGTCCACGAAAGCAGGTAATGAATTAGTTTCGTCTCAATTTCAATCGCGGGCTGACGGGACAAGTATGTCTAACATCCATACAACAGTTTACACATCAGAAAAGTACGGTGACTTCCCCTTCAAATACTAACTCTGCATCATGTTCAAACCCATCATGAAGCTGTATTCAACAGCATGTTTTATGCAGTAACAACACGGTATTAATTTGGACTAGGCTGCAACTGCCGCATGAGGACTGGTTTTACAACCTAACTAATCAAAGCTCAGGAAGGTGCAACTGTTCTAAAATGATCTTCAAGTCAAATGAATCTACCAAGAACGACGGACATTTGTAAGGAACAATGAACAACTAATTCAACAAAGCTTTATTCTTTACAGCAGGACGATATACAAGACCTTGAGTTAAAAAAGAAACGTGGAAAGATAGAACAAATTGAATATGCGTCTTTGTGTGAGTCTATGACGCAGTTATGACTAATCAGCCGCATTTCTACACTAACGCTCAATGAAAATGCAAGGACCAAAATAGGCGTTAAAATGACCAAACAAAACAAAATACATGAAGCAGACTTTACAGTAGAACATAACCGAAGAGATCTTGTGATCAACTCCCATGGGATCAAAGACTAGCTATACTGAAGTGTGCAGTGAAGTCAGATTGTTTCGACTTTAACTGCAGACAATTTACAGAGATTATTAGCTTTCTCACCGCTTCCCGTTTATTACTGACCACTCGCTCCAGCCTTTTGGATAATACTTGGCCCTGTATGTATCGAGGCAATTACATCCCATTATAACGAACTAACCTTTTAAAGCCGAGATTATGTGCCAATTCACACGCACTGGCCGCTGATACATCTGACAACCCGTAAAAGACAATATTGGGGTCGCTCGTTTTTGGTTTTAAAACACCATACTTCTCAGAGAACTCACTCTCGCTGAGGCTGAGAGCTTTCTTTAATTCTACGACTAAAAAAGAGTAAGCAATACTGGAGAACATACGAGGAATGTTAAGGGAACCCGGAATGCTGCCAGTGGATTCTACATCACTCGAATTCCTTACGTCAAACAACTGGACATTCCCTTCCGCAATTTGAGAGCATAATTCATCATATCCTACAATAAATTTTGAACGGCATTCAGGTTCCTGAGCATTTTCAATGCCATTAGTACGGAGACCTTCAGTCTTGACTGAGAAGCTTCGTGAAGTGAAGCAAGCGCGATTCAAAACTTTATGCGAACACATAAAGTGATTTACAGCGGCACAATAAGCTCTAGGAACAGCCCGAGATAATGCAGAGGTGAAAAACGAAACACAACGATATACCGACATCACTACGAGGCGAAAATGTGAACTTAGCGTGTCCTTGGCTTTCAGAATTGATTTGAGAATGCCAATGGTATAAACAAGAGGTTCCAGTATCCAATATTCCAATATTGAAAAGGGGGCGAGCGTAGAAAACTGGTATTTTTGATCTCTCGCGTCTAGTTCTTAGGACTTGGTTCGAGTTTTTCGGTTCACTCCTGCAATCCAATATCCAATATTGATAGTGCGAGCGTAGAAAACTAGTAGTTTTTGATCTCTCGCGTCTAGTTCTTAGGACTTGGTTCCAGTTGTTCGGTTCACTCCTGCAGTGGACGAGGAAATCCCCTCTGCTTTCTTGCTTTTAGCTTCGGTGAGGTGGATGTTTTGTGGGTTAGTAAGTTGTAATTTGTAGAGTGATTAGGGAGCTACGGGTTGCTGGGAAGTTTAGAGAACTGCCGTGACTCCTGTCTGTGTAGGTACCTGAAAGAGAATATTAAGGTAGTGGTAAAGGAATGAAGAGAGAAATAAGGAAGAGTAAAAAAAAAAAAAAAATAATAGTAATAATAATGTAGGGAAGAGAAAAGGGAAGGAGAAGAAAAGAAGGGGTGAAGAGAGAAATGAGAACGAAAGAAAAGTATTTGGGAATTGCCCGAATGGTCGCGTGGGTTTGGTTCCTACAGAAGAATTAGTAGGTAATGTGGGTGTATTAAGGAGAGAGATAGTGAGTGGTAGTTAGGAGGGAGTTGGGGGTACTGAGGTTGGTGACTACCTGAGTACGTCCGTGGTAGTCCATGCGAGGTGACATAACTGTCTAATCGCCTCTTGAAAGAGTCGATTGAAGGAGCTATAACGATGTGTCGCGGTAAGGCATTCCATAAAGCACATACTCTTAGGGAGAAAAATTTGGACCTGAGTGTGGTGTTGGCTCTCTGGTGTGCTATCTTAATGGGGTTTCCTCGTGAAGATCGTTCAGTTGCAGGCAAAATTGATTTGTTTGCATGGTCTGCCTGATGGGCGATCTTGTATGCCATAATGAGGTCACCCCTTTTCCTGCGATAACCCAAGGTAAATAGGTTGAGGTGTTTAAGTCTTTCAGGATACGTCTTTCCCCTTAGCCCCACAACACATTTTGTTGCAGTTCTTTGTATTCTTTCAAGGAGATTAGAGTCTCTCTTGAGTGTTGGAGGAGCCACCGTATTGAAGACCTCTAGGTGCGGCCGCACGTAGGATTTGAAAATGGTGAGGAAGAGTTCGGGAGTGAGGGCGCCAAGCTGTCTACGCAGAAAGTGTAGAATGGCGTTCGCTCTGGTTGTCATACCTTTGTAGTTGGAGCTGGTGTCCAAGGTGTCGGAGAAGTTGAGCCCCAAATCTTTCTCCATGGACACTCTGGTGATAGCACGGTTGCTCAACATGTACTGGAAGTCGGTCGTACTTGCCTCATTTTTACTGATGTGCATTACTTTGCACTTTTCCAGTTGAAGCTCAGGCCATTTTCCGACGACCAGAGCTCGAGTTGCTGCAAGTCCTTTTGTAGTGCTGCACAGTCGGCTTCTTCGTTTACCACCCTCCAAATTTTTATGTCGTCAGCGAAGAGGAGGATGGGTGAGGATATTTTGTCTGGCAGATCGTTGACAAACAGGAGGAACAGAAGCGGTCCTAGGATTGCTCCTTGGGATACTCCTGACGTCGACGGTCTCCACTCCGACCTTATTCTGTTCACTTTAGTGCAGAACTGCCTCCCTTCCAGGTACTCCTTGAACCAAGAGAGTAGGGGTCCACTTATACCAGCTGACATGATCTTGTGAAGCAGTACTGTGGGTGGGACACTGTCAAATGCTTTGGCTAGGTCGAGAAATACAACATGTACAGGTTTTCTATTATCCCAGCTTTGTGTCCAGTCGTCCCAGGCAGTTAGTAAGTTGGTGGCACATGAGCGACCACTACGAAAGCCGTGCTGAGCAGTGTGGACAGTGTTTTCTCTATTGAGGAATTCCCAGATGGTGTCAGCTACCAGGCTTTCCAACACTTTCGACACAATAGGGAGTAGGGCAATCGGCCTGTAGCTGCCAGGGTTTTTTCTGTCTCCTCCCTTGAAGATGGGTGACAAGATGGCACTCTTCCATTCTTTAGGGAGTTTGCACGAGTCTATTGAGTGCTCAAAGAGGTTGCGAAGTGGTTTGGTAAGCACCTCGGCGCAGTTTTTCAGAACCACTGGTTTCAGGTTATCGCAGCCAGGGGACTTGCCCGGACGTAGCCTAGATAGCTTCTCGAACACCTTTTTCTCTGTAATAGAGACGTGACAGAGGTATTCGTTATTTGCGACCTGGTCGGTGTCGTGGCGAGTCGGTGTGGATCTTGTGTCAGTGCTGAGTTGGGCTTGGAAGTGTGAGCTCAAAAGCTCGGCAATCTCTAGACTGCTTAGCACACTCCCGTCATGGCCTGTGACAAGATTCACTCCCTTACTGGTCGACTTTCTTCTTGACATGAAGCGGTACAGGTTTTTGGGGTTGCTTTGTAACCTCGCTGCCAAGTTTGTTTGGTAGGAAAATCTGTCGTTACGCACTCTAATGTTACAGAGATTGCGAATCCTTTTGTAGTTCAAGAAGTCAGACTCCCTGCGTGATGTAAGCCACTTGAACCAAGCCTGCTTCTTGCTCCGGATAAGCCTCTCTGTCCCACGCTTTAACCATGAGGTTCTCATTGATTGTCTGTGTGTTACTTCTGGTACACTGTGACTGATGGCCCCAGTGATTATTTTCTTCACCTCCAACCAGTGTTCATCTATTGTGAGATGAGTCCAGTCCACTGGCCATGATGCATTCATGAGGTAGTCCCTCATGGTCTCATAGTTGGCCTTGCTGTAGCAAGGGAAGGTGTTGGGCGTCTCCAGTTGCAGAGCCTCCCTAGTTATCATGGAGAAGGTGATTACAGCGTGGTCACTGAGGCCAAGGGGAGGTTGGATGCAAACATCCTCAATGAGAAGTTCATCGTTCGTCAGAACGTAGTCAAGGCGCGATGCGTTTCCGTTAGGTCCCCAGCGTGTAGCATCACCCACTTTCTCTGAGAGGCCAGCAGTCTTAATTGCATCCTTCAGCTTCTGATTGAAGGATCTGATGCGTCTCCCTTCCGTCTCGAAGAGGATGGACGGGGTGTTGAAGTCGCCGGCAATGACTACGGAATCGTAATTTGCAGAGGAAGTCGTTAAGATAGCCTTGATGATCATTTCCTTATGTGTAGGGGAGCAGGTGGGGGACCGATATATGACTCCGAGCAGGTATTTGGTACTGTGGAGAGTGAAGTAGCACCATAGGGACTCTGGGACCTGGGTTAAGGCCGTATCGCTAACCATCCTTGCCTTTAAACAAGAGTTTACGTAGATAGCCACTCCCCTCCTGCTCTATGTTCCCTGTCCCTGCGGAAGAGTTCCATGCCAGTAACATGCATCTCTTCGTCGGAGATGTCTGGCGAGAGCCAGGATTCGGTGATGAATATGATGTCGGAGTGCTGATGTGCACGCAGCGTCCTCATTTCTGCTACCTTCCCTCTTAGCCCCCTAACGTTGCTGTACATACATATTAGAGTGTGCCTGGTGAGGGGGAGGTCTGGTTGTGTATTTTCGCAGGATGAGAGCTTATGTGGTTGGGTCTACCCTCGCCAGTCCTCATAGGACTGGCATTGTTCCGTTTTTTGGTGTTTTGTTATTAACTTGGGTGGGGGCTGTGGCAGTGGTGGCTTCTTTACTTGATGTATCTAACTCACTGGTCAGCGCCTGTGTGACGACCACTGACTCCAGAGGTCTTGGTGGTTGTCGTCTCTCCTCTTGCCTTGTGGGTCTAGGCTTACTTTCACATATACGTATTGAGCCACCCATGCGATCCTTCGCATTATACCATGCCTGTAGAACGTCTGTGAGGGAGGCATATGAGTCGAACTGGACGGCGAGTAGTCTGGGATTGGGTATGGTCTTCAGGTGCGCTGGCCTTGGCAGTCTACTGACGCTGTTGGCCGGTATACTGTTGAGACCAACTTTGGTTGAGAGCCATTGCCATTGTTGGACGTCGTGAAAGTACCGATCTTTGACCGAGCGGTCACTTGGCAATTCTGGAATCCCATGTACAACTATAGTGTTGTTTCTGTTGGGATTTCCAACCGCTGACTTTCTCTCCTCCTCTCTTATTGACCATGGCTTGTCAGGCCTGGCCCGAATTTTACAGGCATTAACAACGTCCGGTTGTCGCGAGAGGAGGAGTGTGTCTTCAGCCTCTTTGGTAGTATTTAGGGACACACGTAAAGGGGGTGGCTTATCTCGGGGTGCACGGCTTCCTCGAGAAAGGCGACATAAAGTTGCAGGGAGGGGAGGGAGTCCTAGCATCTGACAGTAGTCGGTCCACATTCGGCTGTCAAACCGTTCCCTCTCGACCAACAATGAGTCTGTCGATACATCGACGTTGAACAAAATGATCGAGTTGGTCCTCCTGTGACCTGGGTTCGTTGTGGGTGGCACGCTTGACTTCCCAATGGGTTTGAGTAATTCCACTGGTTGTTTCTCAGTCACGGTGTGTGGGTGTTTGGAATGGGTTTCGTAGAGGCTTTAGCGGTCGATGTCTTTGGCCATACGCTTGACGTCCCCTGGGGCCGGGTAGGAGGTATGGAGACTTGACCTAATATGGTCCCCACGCGAGGTGGCGTGCCGGCAGCTGGAGCTCTAGGTCTGTTTCCAGGTCTCTCTGTGTTATCTTTGGTGTTAACCCTACTTTATTCGAGGGTGCTGGTAGCTTTTGCGTGGCGGAGAGCATCTCCTTCAGGCTTTCTGTGCGGAGTGCGGGCATTTTCCTGCACTCTGGACAGATGTACCAGAACCACTTGCATGGTTGTCTCTTCATCAGCTTATAGTATTGTCGGGGGACTTTGGTGTCGCAGTGGCAATGCGCCCATCGTTGACATAGGTTGCATGCAAATGCCTCATCGACTACCGAAACAACTTTGGTGCAAACACTGCAGCCATCGGGTGTCGTAATACAGCATTCCTTGCATGAATTAGGTGCTACGGATTGTGACGAACTGCTTGTGGCTGCCTTGTGCTG